CCCCAAAAAAAAAAAAAAAAAAAAAAAAAAAAAAACTTTTCAGAAAATTACTTCTCAAAGAATCAAAATCAAACAAGGGCCAATGTCATGGACTCTACCAAATGTATCTGACAAGTAAAGTGAAATTTCTTTTATTTATTACATTATTTTGAATGTATAATTTCACTGTTTGGTACTTGGTGTAACTTGGATGATTCAAAACTTTCCACTTTGCAGAAGGGAAAAAATATTCTTCCTGTTTTTGTTAAGTTCTCTAATTTTTAGTGGCAGTGGGCTCTTCCCAAGATGGTCCAATAAAAATTTTCATGTCTTGTGGATCACACCTAAAGCAAAGTAAATAAGTTCGGAGAATTATTAAGTGCACACCTAACAAGCCTTGAGGCGGTGTGTGATGTGTATGCCTTGCACAGCTGAGGCGTACGCTTTCAAAAACTGCCTCACAGTAGGTGCCTTGAGGCTTTTTTTTGGCTTTAGAGTATTATAAGCCAAACTTGCCAAACCTTTTGGTGCGAGTTTTCAATCAATCCAGAAAAGCTGCATTCTGAGACTTTGGTTGTTACTGGCAGATTCACCATGGGAAGGTGGCCCCATTACGTCAAATCTTACGAGGAAAGGTGAGGCACTTGCTGTATCTGGTTTGGTAGAATATGGAGATGAGATGGATGTAATTGCCCCAGCTGACATTTTGAAGCAAATATTTAAGATACCATACTCCAAAGCTCGAGTGTCTATTGCAGTACATCGTGTTGGACAGACACTTATCCTGAACTCTGGGTATAATGTTGTTTAAGTTATTGCAGTTTTATACATGTTGAATGCCTTTGATGTTTGCCAAATATCTTGACATGTGATGCAGACCTGATATTGAAGAGGGAGAAAAGCTTATCCGAAGACATAACACTAAATCAAAATGTGTAGACCAATCATTATTTTTGAATTTTGCTATGCATTCGGTAAGAATGGAGGCTTGTGATTGTCCACCTACCCATGCAGCTTCATCAAAGGAGAAACCAAAGTCCTCTGTTCTTCCTGATGAATACAAGTCCAAGAAAGAGTCATTTGAATCTTTGAACCATCCAATTCAAGGGCATGGGTCCATTAGGCAGAGTGATGAAATAGGTTCAGGCGAAGGATTTATCCGTAATCAAGAGTACCCGCAGGTTGAAAAGGAAAAGCTGTTTTGGGAGAAGACGAATAAGAGAACTAAAGCTCGTGAAGCTATCAAGGTCTCACAGATTAAAGAAAAGCCGAGGCGCACCGTGCAGGAATCTGAAAAGTACAGAAGAGTTAGTAATGATGAGTTCTTAAGAATGTTATTTTGGCAGTTCCACAATTTCCGCATGCTTCTAGGCAGTGACTTACTTATCTTCAGTAATGAAAAATATATTGCGGTGAGCTTGCATTTATGGGATGTTTCACGGCAGGTGAGTTTTTACAAAATGAAAAATGACCTTGTCTTTCTTACTTATCATTCACATTCATTTCTTTGTTTATTTGAGAAAGGGACAACTGTTCATAATATGTGTTTTTTCTGGCCATATGTACAGGTCTCTCCATTGTCTTGGCTTGAAGCTTGGCTCGACAACTTTATGGCTAGTGTTCCCGAATTGGCTATCTGTTATCATCAGGATGGTGTTGTTCAAGGTTATGAGCTTCTGAAAACAGATGAAATTTTTCTACTAAAGGGTATATCAGAGGATGGGACTCCTGCTTTCCATCCCCATGTTGTCCAACAAAATGGCCTCTCCGTTTTGAGGTTCCTTCAGGAGAACTGCGAGCAAGACCCTGGTGCTTATTGGGTACATATTGTAGTAAAACTTTTTCCTTTTTACCTTTCACATTGGTATATGACATTTATCTCATTCCAAGCTTTTTCTTTCAGCTATATAAAAGTGCTGGCGAAGATGTCATCCAACTTTTTGATCTCTCTGTCATTCCAAAAAACCATCCTCCCGATAATTGTGATGATAACTCTGATCCTCTGCCATCTCTGATGCACAGAAGGAGAAGTGATTCCATACTCTCCCTGGGCACTCTATTGTACAGAATTGCACACAGACTCTCACTCTCAATGGTAGGTACAAGTGCTATGCCTATTTTTGTTTCTGCTAGTTAGCGATTGCTAATAATTGTTTTGCTGCAGTCTCATGGTAGCAGAGAAAGATGCGTCGTTTTTTTCAAAAAATGTCTTGACTTGCTGGAAGAACCAGACCATCAAGTATGTTGTCTTCTGAAATTTTAAAGGAGCAAAGAGTTCCTGTACATTGTTTTTCAATAGTTTGAGTATGAAAACTATCTTTTGACTGATTAAACGTGGTGAATAGGTGGTACGTGCACTTGCTCACGAACAATTTGCGAGGCTTCTCTTGACTTACAATGAAGAACTGGAGTTGACATCTGAAGCACTTCCACTAGAGTCTGAAGTCATCATCGCTGATGCTGAAGAAGAATCCTTTGAGTTTATGAATGGGTTATATGCATCGAATGCTCATGATATAGTTTATCCCCCGTTCGCTGCAGTAGAACCTAACAGTCAGGAAAATTTTGATCTTGAAAATTCCACAGAGATGACATCTGGTGATAGCATATCTGTATCATCGGGTATTGCAATTGTTGCAGACGAGGATAATGTGCCAAGTTCTAGTGATGAGGATTTTATGGTCTGTAATGTGTCAAAAACTTCTGATCATGAAATCCAGACTGTTGCCGATCCAATATCGTCTAAGCTTGCTGCAATTCATCACGTCTCTCAAGCCATCAAGTCTCTTAGATGGACGCGCCGATGGCAAAGCACCAAACCAGAGCTGAACCATAAAAATGAAATTGAGGACGAACCACCTTCATCAATGGATTTCTCTGTTTGTGCCTGTGGCGACACTGACTGTATTGAAGTTTGTGATATCCGAGATTGGCTCCCAACATCCAAATTAGATGACAAATTGTGGAAACTTGTTTTATTGCTTGGGGAGTCTTATTTGGCTCTTGGTGAAGCTTATAAGGATGACGGCCAACTCTATCAAGCCTTGAAGGTTGTAGAACTGGCATGTTTGGTTTATGGATCAATGCCTCATGACACCAGATTTATTTCTTCAATGGTTTGTAGCTCGTTATCCCATGCGGAAGTTAACATCAGAAGTGAAAACATGAAGTCTTTCGCAGGTGATGATCATCTTGCTTTCGGTCAGCTGTCTTCGAATTACCTCTTTTGGGCCAAGGCTTGGACACTAGTTGGGGACATATTTGTTGACTTTTATCTGGTAAAGGGTGAAGACGCCTCAAGGCAAGCAGAAAGGAAAGACAACGCCAAAGACTTGAGAATGTCATCTGAGGTCTTGAAGGAAGTTGAGAGACTCAAGAAGAAGCTGGGGCAATTTAACCAGAATTGCAGCTTATGTTCTTTAGTAAATTGTAGCTGCCAGAGTGACAGGGCCAGTAGTGGAAGCAGTGCAAGTAGCAGTACTCAAGAAACTCGTTCATCTGGTTATGGCAGAAAGCAATTTAAAAAATCATATATCACAAACAGCAATTATTCACGTCCTGTGGATTATGAAAATGTCACAGTTGCTGAGAATGGGGACATTAGAAACACTAAGGAAAGTAAACATCTTAAGCATAACAAGACTGATAAAATCAATGAAAGTTCCAATAGGATAGCAGATGCTATGCAGGATGTGAACTTGGCAGCTGAGGTAGATGTTATGGGGTCTAGGGTAGATACTCCTTCTGAACCTTCTTCCAAAGGTAAAACTGCTGTGAAAAATGGTGGTATATTTAAGTACTTGAGGTGTTCTATAGCTGGAGATGCTGATTATACTCTCTCTGTTGCCCTGAGTTGTTATGAAGAAGCTCGAAAATCCATGAGTGAACTTCCTGCTAGTTCAGCAGATTTAAAATCTGTAGTCAAGAAGAAAGGATGGGTGTGCAACGAACTAGGACGATATAGGGTGGAAAGGAAAGATTTGGGCAAAGCTGAAATTGCATTTGCTGAGGCTATTAGTTCTTTTATAGTAGTCGAGGATCATACTAATATCATTTTGATCAACTGTAATTTGGGCCATGGACGAAGAGCATTAGCTGAAGAGATGGTATTAAAGATTGAAAGTCTCAAGGAACATGCTGTCTTCCACAGTGCATATCTGCAGGCAGTTGAAACTGCCAAAATGCAATACAGTGAATCACTCAGGTATTACGGGGCAGCAAAGACAGAACTAAATTCTTTAGCTGAAAATGAAGGTTCTGTCTCAAGCAGTTTGAAGAACGAAGTAAATACACAGTTTGCTCATACATATCTACGACTGGGCATGCTGTTGGCAAGAGAAGATACTGTTGCAGAGATTTATGAGAATGGGGTCCTCGAAGATTACTCTGTTTCTAGTCTCACTAGAACTCAGAGAGAACATAGAAAGCATGAGATATCGGCAAATGATGCCATCCGGGCGGCTACAAACAAATCTTCTGTCAGTCCTCAGCAAACTCCATTGAATAAGTCGGTTGATGCTAACAAACTGAGGGAGCTTTACAAGATTTCTTTGAAGTCCACTAATTTTAGTCAGTTACACGATATGCACAGATTGTGGGCATCATAACTCCAACTCTTAAAGTTCCAGGTACTGGTAATATGACCCTCTGGCATTATGTATGATAATCAAATTAAAATCCATATTGATTTTTTTTCTTGGTTATGTTGCTTTCTTGCTACTATAATCAAAGCGATATTCACTATGTTAGAAACTACTTTTGGACGGAATGGTTATAGGATTTTGAAAATTTCATTGCAGGACATTGGGATGTGTACTGTTTTATTAATCATGTTTGAATACGTTTGCTAAATTGACAAAAGTGTAACAGTGAGTTACAAGAACTCGGGCTAAAATGTTGAAAACTGACAACTAGATTTGCTTATAATTGATTTTTAGTATCACACACAGAAATCTCTTATTACATATTATTGTCGAATAACAAAGATGAACAATTGCGAATATGGAATGAAAAAATTCACTATTCCAAAAAAATGAAGTGATTGAATACGGTAGATAAATTTTTTTTTATGAGGTTTTAGATGAACTGGAAGGCCATACACTGGCGTAGAGGAAGCATGATATACTATCTTCTCATTTCGAATTGCCTTTATTAGTTTGAACCTTCTCGCTATATTATGCATGAAAACCAGTACATCTAGCCGAGCATATTTTTCCAGGGGCATAATCGAGGTCCTCCCCCTAAGGGCACAAACGTCTAAGGTGCCAGTAAACTCCCCTCAAATTTAGTAATTAGTAGGATCAACTGTTCAGGGTCTTGGAAGAACGCTGGATTCTTGTGAGTTGAATGTACAGTCCAAAATGTTTACAATAAGATGACCAGTAAGACAATTGTGATAATCTTCTCGAGTGACTGAACTAGATGTAGCATGCCTTCCATCCTTGAGGAATGGTAAAACCAGAACTGAAGTCAGTCGTGGTTTCTTTGAACGCTCCTTGAGCAGGGGTTGGTAATCTGATTGATTCACTGCCGTGTAACCACGTTCCAAGATAATCTTTTCGATGTCCTCCCTAGTCAGTAACTCATCTGGACATTTTGATCTTGCAATCTACCGTTTCATTATATTTTATGTTCATATTTTAGATTTTCATTCTCCTAAAATTGCTTACAGGTCATCTCTGCATTATATACAGGTAAAAAGTTAGATGATTGACCTTTGAGAGCCTCACTGTATATATGGGGAAGTTCTGCGAGATGGTATTGATTCTGTTATACAGTTGGCTGGCTTTAATACAAAATATAGTATATACAATATGTCTGACATTCTAAGCTTTTTAGGGATTTTGATACATATACACCAGGTTGACCGACCCAACACAACAGCGGGCTTGCGACGAATAAAAAAATCGTGGGCCCCCTGTTGCGAGGGGGTCGGTACACCGGTGTACGAGTAGCAAGATCCGCTTTTTAGATGAAACGATTTGACATAAATTCAGAACATGTCGTAGGTTCAAGTCTTGTTATTACCCATCGGTGAAAACAACATTTCTTGGCATATTTTATTCTTTATCTCGATAATTTGTTATGTTTTTAAATGAAGTAAATAATGCGATTTTGAGGATAAGGGTAATAGTTTTAAATTTGCAGATAAGGTGCTTAGACGTAAATATGAAACAATTTTTAATTTGTTTATATTATGGTGGGAAATTATACCATTGGTCCTGAATTTATTACTTTTGTTAGCTTGTTGCTTTTCAACTTACAAAGAATTCAGTCTGTTCCTACCAATATAAGGTCCATTCATGTTGGAAAATAGGGATAATAGGTCGTCAATGTGGGGTGACCCGACCTACAGGATTTTATAAGGGTTGGAGGGAGTGAATTCGAACTCAGAACTTCCAAGTAATTACTTGAAACTTTCATATAGAAGTTACGGAAAAGAGGGGGGAAATGCAAGACATGAAAAAAAAGGCGAAAAAATTAGTATAAAAATTCACCTCAAAATTGGAAAGTCCCTATAATCACATTTTTGATATGAAATTTCACAAGAAATAGCACTTAGATTGTGGACAATAATCCCCTTTCATTGTGATTGGGATTTGGATCATTGGAATACAAGAAAAAACAAATTTGGGAGATTTGAAAGCAAGGTGATTCAGCCATATAAAAATCTTGAAATTCATCATTTCAAGAAAGTTTGTTGATCCGAAATTTATGTCAAAGCATGCTACGATTTTCCTACATTGGTATTAGAGCAATAAGGTTGAATTCCTTGCTGTAATTTATGCTTAATTATGCCATTACACGATAGAATTGGGTTATGAATCTTGTATGCAAAGTTTTGAAACTTTATATGGTATTTAGTGGCATCATTTGATAATTTACTGCTATTTGTTCGTTCATCTTCATGCAGTAAGATTAGTATGGTTAGAAAGGTGTTCTCATAAGCTTTCCAACCATATAAAGAACTCAAATTTTGGAGTTAAAAAAAGAAGTTACGAGTTTTTGAAATTTGGATGATAATCTGAATTTTAAGCGTGAAACTAGGTAAAATCCTGAAATTCATCACGTGATAACTTTTTATACATTAAGTTTCATGCTGTCCATTTGGTATGGTTGGATAGATCTTCTCAAGACCTTTCTAACGATATAAAGATCATTAATTTTGGACTTGAGACGAGAAAGTTATGCCCTCCCAAAATTTAGATGAAAATCTGTTTTTTTAGTGAAAATCTGTAAAATAAGAAACTTCATCAGATGATAACTTCTTTCACATTGTGTTTAATGATGCCCATTTGATATGGTTGGATGGATTTTCTCGAGACATTTCCAACAATATAAAGAACATAAATTTTGGCCTTGGAATGAAGAAGTTATGGCCTCCTGAAATATTGATAAAAAAAATTTGAAAATTATGTTTGTTTGTTTGTTTGTTTGTTTGTTTTTTTTTTTTAAAAGATGAACAATATTTTTTTCCTATTTTCTAATCTCGATCAGATCTATTTGGGTCCAGAACACAATCTTAAAAGTTGATATTATGAAATCTGACCATACAGATGAACTCAGAACGTTAAAATTGATTAGATGGATGAATTAACAAATTTTTTTTTCATTGAATAAGCGCCGCGGATTGACGTGTAGTGCCTGTTCAATGCCTTAAAGGTTGGAACTTCATATAAAATTACCGTTTGACTTTTTCAAATGAATTTTAGAAAATTGTAAATTGGCCCCTCAAATATTCTTGATTTTTATGTGCAATTAAATTTAATTTTCAGGTAATCAAAAATATTTTTTGGATTTTATTAAAATTTAATTTTCAGGTAATCAAAAATATTTTTTGGATTTGATTAAATTCTAAATTTTTTATAAATATTGAGAATATTTGTTAAGTAGTATTTGCTTAGTGGGATTTTTTTTTTTTTTTTGAAGTGTTTCATTTTTAAATGAAAAATACTCCGAAGGTATTTAAAATATCGCATTATATATACGTTCATGAGTTGTGTGGGCATTAATTAGGTTATGTGATCCATTGTGACTTGTTTTCAATTTTTTGACCTTGATCAAATATGATTAGATCTGTGTACATTTATAGCATTCTTAGAAGGAATACTAGAAAATTAAAGGCTATGAAACTTGTTGAAATGTTCCATGCTTATCGATATAAATAAATGAATCTGGAACATGACCTATTGTGGAACACGTAAATATTTTGGGATATAAGTTTTTGATGATAAGCAGAATATAATAATTCTAATGTCACTTCCCAATTATTATGACTATGTTGCGACTGAGATTTAGATGAGATTGAGAATTTGTAAAAAAAAAACTTAAACGATGTTAGTTTTATTTTTGAATTATAATTGAAGTTATCTTCTGAAAGAATTAATTTGTTATATCATGATGCATGTCATGATTGGATAAATATGCATATTGATGTTTTTATTGCATATTATGAAATTATCTAATTGAATACATCATGTATTGTTATAAATGCTAAGGTCAGTAGAATTAGTGAGATTCTTACTTAAACCTATTGATTGTCAGTTGAGCGATAGTTCGGTGATTGGAAGATTTAGAGAAAATCTCACCAAGAACTATTTGATTCATCAACTAAGTGGGAGTTCTGAAGTTGGAAAAATAAATGTGATTCTCACTTCGAGCTCATGGAATTTTGTATTATTAAATTAAGTTTATGATAGTGAAATGATAGGATTGTGGACGATGATTGGGATCATAGTGAACTTTCGACTCTGTGCCTAACGTAGAACTATCGTAGATGTTAATTTGCGTTCATGCAAAATTAAATATGTGCATAAATGAGCATTGATTACGAATAACATGTCTCTAAAAATCTGATAGATCATGACATCAAAATCTATAGAAGTTAACCTTAATAAATGTGATAAACTAAATGCGATAACATTTGGCATAATAAGATTTTAAATGTACTAGAAGGACGTGATGCTTTAGAGAGTATCAACCACGTAACAGAAGACCTTATGTAGGTCATACCACTCTAGCGAATAAAGATCAGAATCGAACTTAGTTGAGTACGGGAAAATGTGAATTTTAGTACTCGAGCAGTTAAATTGTTAAGTTATATTATAAATGATCTTTTTTCTCAAATGTGACTTAGTTGGTGGTTAGCATAGTGTTAACATTTTCATTGGTCACATTAATTTTAGATGAGTAGTAAGTTCAAATTAGTCTCTTCTTAATATATGGAATTTTGAAAGTTATTGTGACTTACAAATTGAAGTGTCAAATTTTTTCTATTGATACTACCCACTATGTGAGTTAAAAGACGTGCAACTTGATGTTGCTAAGTCTCGAGGACATGCTTGTGTAGCAATGTTCTAGCTTGCATAAGGTTTTGAATCTTAAGCATTGAATGAGTTAGAACAAATGCGGGATAGATGTGAGAGACTGGTAAAGGGACCAAGACGAACTATCAGATAGTAAGTGAATAAAAGTGGTTGTGGTAGAGGATTAATGTTATAAAGGTTCAAGTACTTCAACTATACGATTTGAATCTCTTAGCTCGAAAGTGGTTAAGCCAAAAGATATTGCACTTGAATATATTCGTCTTAGTGTTGTTTACGTGTCA